CATATTTTCTTCTCTTGCATCGTTTTGTGCTCAGATAGCTGCTGAATGACACATCTGAGAAGTGACACACTTGTGACTCAAATGTATTTTGCAGTATTTAGTTGTGAATCAATCCAGAATGATTCAACTCAGGCTAAATGAAAAACAGATGACTCTATACTGTGAGTAATTGGATTGATGAAGATTATTACGAAGGGCTTTGTAATGTTTACCGAGGGCTGTGACCACAGAGCGGCCGCAGTAATCCCTCATCTCCACCCCTGCCCTCCTTCAGCCTCCTCTCCTTTCACTCACACAGCCAAGCTGTCCAACTCCCTCCATTTAGCTCATTGTGTTCACTGGGTTGACTTATTGAGAGCTTGGTGCAGTTGATAAGCCTTCATCTCTTATTCTCTCTCTCTGTGTCTCTTATTCTAAATCCTATTAATTCAACCCTAACCTCCTACTCATAAAATAATTACATACAGTCCTCCCATACTTTTACATGACACAAGATGATCTACTGATGCTAATGGCCTGAGAAGATACGTTTGAAATGTAAAATGTAATGTAATTCTGAAGGGTGTGTTTTTAAGCCATGAAAGAAGTAGAGGTGGACTTATTTTTTGCATAATGTTGAGAATAAAGTTGAGATATCGAAGGCAAACTTTCAGTATTTGTGCAACACATAAGGAAATGTAAGAATATAGTTGAAATAAAATGTTAAGAATACATTTTACATTTTACGATTTAAAGTTGTACTACTGAGATTAAATCCCTATCATAAGCCCATACTGAGCGTTGTTTATTTTTATTTTGGACAACTTTATTTTGGACCTTTTAAGCTTTATTCAGGCTGTATAGAGAGAGACTCTCCCCTACTGTAGAAATGGAACCTGGGAGGGGTTAACTTTGTTTACTACAGAGGACAGTGGCTGCCAGTAACCCTCACAGCCTTATTGGTCAGTAACCGAGCTCCTGATGGTCATTAAGTCCCTCCCAGTATTGTATTTGTCTCATGTGCATGACTTCTTGACTCATACACTGTGACGGGAAACCAGATTATGGTTACACAACTGTGTGTGTTTCTGTGTGTCCTCCTGTATTATAGGTTTCTTAAAATGTTTTCCCTTTGTCTCCCTTTTGCCTCCCCCGTCTCTGGCCCCCCACGCCCTTCCTCCATTTAAAGAGAAGTTCTGTTTTCACAAGTTGTTTTCTCTGCACCCACCCACCCTCCTCCTCCTCCCTCTCTGCCTCTCCTGCTGAAAATGACTCTCAGTCTATTTTTATCCTCTGGTCCTCTCCACCCATTTTCCCTCTGTTTCTAACCACCTCTATACTCTCCTGTTTTCAATTATTTTCTCCCTCTATACCTCTGGCCCTGTGAGTGTTGCATCAGAATATTTGCTGCAACAATTCTGTCTCAAAGAGGCACATTTGCATGATGGAGGGAAGGAACACATTTTTGAGGATTTAAAACAGCTTTTTATGGTGGAAACATATGACATCACTATCCTCTCTACTGTTAGCTGCTCTCCCTAAAACCAAAGTATCATTGCCAGGAAAAATACTTATTATCCCTCTCATTAGTGAATTTTGCTGATTCGGCCTGGACGTGGATATGCATTGTCATCTTGAACCCAGAGCCCTCTATAACATCAACCCCCTGTGCAGAATGCATACAAGACTCAAAGGCGGCGTGGAAAGTAAACAGTAGCTCACTAGCGCCACCCTGCATAGGATGGTATGTATGGAAATAATGCTATATAACCGAGTTATTGTGAGTAGGAGGGATCGTGTCTTACTTCTGTTAAGCCATTGGTTGGCCTACATCTGAGTGTTGGTTTCTGATTGGTTGTTTCAATCATCAATCAAGGTTTACTACGACTCCTGCACCAATGACATTAGCGTGGGGTGGGCTTACTGAAAGAAACATAGAAATACACATGTTTTGATTAATTACTTGAACTCCAACTTAGGTTTTCAAATAGATACAAAACACGATATTTCTTTTATCTATCTGTATTTTATATTTAGGATCAGCTCAGTTTATGTGATAAGAAAATAAGTTGAGTGTAAAGCCGGGTCACATTTGCATATGACTGGCATTCCAGTGCACAAGCCGACCAATCAGGGTTGACGGCGGGCAGATGACAGCTGGCCGCAACAGCCAATAGGAGAGTAGGATTTGCTGCGGAAGGCGGGATAAGGCTGGGCGAGGTTGACAGGACGAGAAGGGGAGGGGGCGAGTGCAGGGGGGGGGGCAAACAGCCTAGTTTACAACAAGAGGAAGAGGGAGGGAAAGAGAAAGAAAGGGCCAAGGCTTGTGAGAGAGAGAGAGACGAGACGCAAATAAAGGAGTAAAGTCGGGCTGGGATGCTGTACGGGGACTTTTCTGGAACAAAACAACACGCGTTACACCGAAATTAACCGAAGTGGAGCCGATGTCGTCCGCACGAAGTGGCTAGCTAACCTGCCGCAGACGGACGGATCTCACCGACGGCTTTAACGTTGCTGTAGCGCTTCTTTTAAAAACCCCCCATTGGGTTCAGGTCCTGTATTTTGGTCATATTGAACCAATCACTCGTTTGCTGCCTTGAGGAGGAGAAAAAACTGCGATTCATCCAGTCTTGTTCTCAGTTCGCAGTCTGGAACCAGGAGTCCTCACCGTGGTCGCTTTATAATCGCTGTGTTGTAGACTAATCAGTTGCTAGCTAACGTCAGGTCTGTGGTCAGATCGGCCAGGTAGGATAGGAGCTAGGAGACTTATATACTGTGCTGAAGAGCTTTTAGTAGAGAACAGTGTTTGTTAGCTCTTTTGCTAACCAATCAGATGGATAGTGGGAGCACTGGGTGATGGATGAATGCACCAGATTTACTGTCAACGACATCTGCTAATGCCTAGTAAACACGGGTGAACCCAAGTTTGGTGGTTATCCTTTTTACTAAGTGATTTGATATCTTGGCAGGTGTTTTAACCAATCTGCCAGGTTTAAACAGGTGCATGGAAGCAGATGTTGGTAAAATTATTTGATCTAATGCAACTTCTCAAAACGGTCCTTGCTTGATTTTCTTTTCTCTTTTATCAGGCTCTACGTGTGCATACGCTTTAGTAGTTAAGACATGAGAACAATTTCGTTTATTTTGCTTCTGTCTGTGCGGCGGGTGCACGACCAGGGGCGTTCCCGAGAGGTCGGTCCCGTTTGGAGCAGTGCTCTCGAGGCTCCGGTTGTTGCAAGAGGCAGATAAACTGGCTTCTCTGTTGCTTTATTACATGAATCAGCAAGTATTCAAGTCGATGTGTGGGCAAGCAGTGCACACTTGGACATTAAAGCAGTTTCCTCTGTCGCACTTCCCAGTTAGACGAATCACATTAGCTTTGATCGCCCCAATTTGCTTGTTGCAGTGTTTGTTAGCCTGATCGATACAGAGCCCTCTTACAGCAGTTTGTGCTTCTTAAGCAGCTGCCGAGCCCACCTGTCTGCAGCTGTATGGTGGTGCAGAGTGAGCTTTGACATGGCCCAATAACACTGCGTAGTTCCCGGGCGGATGTTTTAATCCAAGCCGTGGATGGGCTGCAGGCCTTGTTAACCCCTTCGTGACCGAGCTGCTGGAGTAATGTAAACAAACAGAGAGAGGGCATCGGGGGTAATTAGACCAAAGTGAGGAGGGAGCTAGGCTTCGATCATAATCATCGTTTTAAATTGGTCGTCAATACTCTGTTGCATTCTGACTTATTTAACTTACGTTTTGTATTATATTGAATTCGTTTATAGTACATTCTGTACACTGATGTTTGATTCATGTGCGTTTTTTATGGCGGCATTCTGCGATACGGATTGATGGACTCTTGTTGACAGACGTATTTTAATGTTTACTGGCATTGTAACTAAAAAGGATGCTTCTTCATGCCGCATCCTAAAATCCCCATGATGCAGTTGTTATTGTGAATGATGAACGCAACCTCTTGAAACGGATACAGACACCATTGAGCACTGGTCATCTGTGAACTACCTGCAATATCTGCTCGAGATTTTGGATTAAAGATGTCTCTTAAACCTGGATTTATGTGTGTAGAAAAGGAACTTTAAAGGGACACACTTTCTTTTTTTATTATTCTTTTTGGGAGAAACATCAAGGATTTCATTCAATCATGTTCTCATCAGAGAATCCACAGTATCTCCGCCAAGGATTAAGCATGTTTGGTTAGTCCTCATCACTTACCTTACTGTTTATATATTTAAAAATAATCCTTTTTGTCAGATCTATTCCATACAGCAACCTTATATTATTGTGTACTTGAGGCATAATGCAACAACAATGTTGTATTATTATTATTAGACAGAAGCTATTTTTGTAGGTTTATATGATACAGATACTTAAGTTCATGGAAAAGCATCCTCATCAACTTGTGTTTTTCAATAATTAAGATAATGATGATGTGATTTATACAGCTCTTACTCATTTATGGGGGTTCAGAGTGTACTAGCTTCTGTTCTCCATCCAGCCTGTTATTGAGAACAGACAGTCCTTTTGTACATCTGCTGTTGTTGGAGTTATTCAACCACTCAAGTAGCTGTAGGTGGGCTACTGTGGCAGTGCTGTTATTCTGGGTTGCTCTCATTAATGATATTGTTATACTCTGCCAGGAAATGAATAGCTTTCACCTAATGTCTCAGATGTCCATTATTAGAGTGCTAAAATGAAAGCTACTGTGAAAACATTGACCCAGATTTTAGTAATTTATTTGTGGTTATATGACTCCAAAACATGAATGCTAGCATCACAAACATATTGGAAGAAATGATTAGAGTTTGTGATGGGAGTAAGATTGCACCTCTTGTCTTGGTGTTGCACTGAGGATCTTGATTTCCCAAATAAGGAAATATTATCTTTAAAATCTGAATGTAACACAACCTTGTTGTCTTGAATCTGATTTCTGAGCAGGTAAGCTTTTTATAAACGTCTGGACATCCTGTTGTGGGGTTATCTGAAATAAACAATGCTGTTATCCTCCGCAGTGTGGACCAACGTAGAGCCCCGGTCAGTTCCAGTCTTCCCCTGGCATTCATTGGTCCCCTTCCTGGCACCCACCCAATCAGATGCTTCTTCTCTACCAGGAGAGGGCCAGCACCCTGTCAACCACCCCCAAGCAGCCAGTCTGAAGACAGGTACTGAATTAATTTATGTTTGATGCAATGTAACCTGTATTATCAGTTACTTGGATACTCAGTTTTAAGTTCCATATATTGGTTTCTCTGCCCCGGACACGAATGCATCTCTTTGTTGTTTTCCCTCAGACTGTCAGGGGGTGGCAGCACAGTCACAAGAGCCTGCAGAGGCACCTCCCATGGTAGAGAGAGGTCCTCCATCCCGGCCTACCCCCTCTTCTGATGAGCCGCCTCCAGAGAAGGAGAAAGGCGATGCGGAGAGGGAGAGGCCAGACAGCGAAACAGAGAGTGACGTGGATGACCCGTAAGAGCACTTTTTGCGTTATGCAGTGATTCAATGTGCAAAGCTGTGAGGTTACATAAACACTTAAAGATACACCCTGCACCTGCAACCTTGCCAGTGTCTTTTTATAAAAAGTGGTTATGTATTTGTCCCAGTCAGCCCTCACAGTAATGTTCTCTTTGTGGTACCCACACATACAATATGGGAGTGTGAAATGTTCTGTATCTTTGCGCTAATTTGGGCAAAAGAGCTCAATGCCAGAACAAAGCAGATGGGAACAAAAACATTCCATCTCTGGGCTTTATCACTATATGAAAGGCAGTGGCCAGGCCGTCAGCCATTGAAATGGATGAGCTATCTGCTGAATCTGCTGATGTATCTCATGGGAGATGAACTACTTCTGCTCTGTGTCTGCATCTGAGAGACTTGAAGCTCTGGGATAAATAATACCAGAGACAAAAAAAACTATCTTACAGTGAATCAAAGAAAGCAGATCTGCATGTGCGTTTTGTCCTTAAGGATATAATCTAATATAGATTACACTTTGTTTCAGCTTTCTCCCAGGCGTTGTACCAGAGCCTCCCCTCGCTATATCACCCGTGAAGAGACGCACTCAGTCCCTCAGTGCGCTGCCCAAAGATGGAGATAAGAGCAGCCCTGGAAAGGTTGGTCTTTTATATTGCTCCTATATCATCATCATCATCGGAATTCTCAATGTTCCCTTTACTAACATGTAATATCTTTCTATCGTTCCTATTCTGTCTTTCAGAGGGAGAAGGACCACATCCGGCGACCAATGAATGCATTTATGATTTTCAGTAAGCGCCATCGAGCATTGGTGCACCAGCGGCACCCGAACCAGGACAACAGGACAGTCAGCAAGATCCTTGGGGAGTGGTGGTATGCCCTGGGACCCAAAGAGAAACAGAAGTATCATGATTTAGCTTTCCAGGTACACACATGCAATTACCAGCAAATGTATCAACATAAGTGGCAATAGACAGCTTTTCCTTCCCAGCTTTTTCAAGTGATATATTTAAAGACAACTGATATACTTTCCATTTCCCTCAGCCTAGAAAAAACATTATTGTGATTATTTCCTTCTGCTCTTCTGCGCACAGCAAGGGGTCTTTCACTTTCCTCTTGCACTACAACCAACACAACCTCAAAGCTAAGATGTCGTCATCAGTCAAATTAGCATATGATGCTAATTGTTGTGACTTTTGGCAACACTGCTATTGATATACTGCATTTATTTTCCCTTAGCTTTAAATTAAGCCTTTCCGATGACCGTACCCCGTGGCAGACAAAACTGCATTCTGAAAGCAAGGCTCTGGAAACCTAAATCTTAAAGAGCAACTTGCTTCTTTTTTTTTTTACTACATTTATGCTTAACCTTGCCTGAAAATTACAATTAAAAATGTTAATGCAGGATTTGATATGTTTTACAAGACATAAGGGCAGGAATTCAGAGGGGAAAGGAGCCGTTTTGAGCTCTGCTACTAAAAACTGCTTTTTTTTTTAACGTCATACGTCAAACTCGTCATATTACGTCGCATGGGGGGGTTAAGGGCCGGAGCTAGCGTTCGTTCCTGGGTGCGTTGTGCATCCACCTCCCTGCAGCACATACTCCGTCTCCACAGCTTTATCAAGAAACCGTATTACATCTCTCTCCCCCCCTTCACTGCTCTCTCTCTCCCCCCTTCGCTGCTCTCTCTCTCCCCTCCGGTACACGGCACCGTAAGACTAGTGTGGAGTTGTCATTAGGTTAACGCTGTGGTGGCTGTACTGCTCCAGCCGTCTCCTTTGTGTTTGTTTGTTTCCCCCTGTCTGTGTTGTTT